CATCCATCCATCCATCCATCCATCCATCCATCCATCCATCCATCCATTCTTCCCTCCCTCCTTTCTTCCATTCCTCCTTTATTCCATCCTTCCATCCACCTCTCCTTCCAGTCCTCCATCCATCCCTCAATTCATCCATCCACCTCTCTGCCTCTCATCCATCCATTCCTTTGACTCATTTCTCCACATCTCCATCCATCTTTCCGTTTCTTCTTCCCTCTTTCCCTCCTTTCTTCTGTCTTTCATTCTTCCATCCATCTCTCCTCCTCTTATCCATCCATCCATCCATCCATGAGCTCTCTCCATCCTTCCCTCTCTCCATCCTTCCCTCCCTCCGTTCTTCCATCCCTCCATCCCTTCTCCCCACCCTCCCATCCCTCCATCTCTCTGTCTCCCCCCATCCCCACAGCAGCACTGGGAAAGGTTGGCGGAGTGGGGCTATTTTTGGGACCGTCTCCCTGGCAACGGCTGCCACCACCGTCTGTGGTGGCTTTTCCATAGGTGCTAAAATATTCCACGCTTCTTATTAAAGACGGTGCCGGTGGAGACGGGCGGGGGTGGCGAGTGTGAGCCACCCCACTGCTGGGGCCATTGAGCCAGGAATGGCCGGGGCACGGCACGAGGACAGCGAGGGGTTGGTGACATCCTTGCTGTGACATCCCCATGTCCATCCCAATGGCCCAACCATGCTGGTTGCACGGCGGACAGGGTGCAGCCGTATGTCCGTGTGGAGCAAACCACCACCATGGCCACGTGCTCCTCCCCATCCTCAGCAGCACAGTGAGGTTTTTGGGATGAGTTGAAGCACTGTAGGGTGGCTTCACCCCTTGGGCAGCGACCACCATGGTCACACCAGGAAGTATCACAGATACTGAGAGCAGAGCTGGGGCTCTCTATGGGATGGACAGTGACTTCCAAATTGGTGCCCCTAGGTATGGGTGTTCTCTATGGGATGGGCAGTGACCCCCAGTCTGGGGACAGGGATAGTAGGGATGGAGGGGTCGGACAGCCCCATCCAGCTGTAGGGAGCAGCAGAGCGGAGCTGTTTGCAGGATGTTGGCTGCTCTCCCTGCTTGCAGCTGCGGACGGATGCTGAGAAGTGCTAAAAATACTCTCTGCTCCTCCCGGTGAGAGTTCTCCAGGAGGTGACCTGGAAGCCCCCGAGATGCCACCGGGGAGCTCCCAGCAGAGACACCCTGAGGGGAGCTGGGTCCTTGCTTGGAGCCAGGTCTCAGCCCCTAATATGGGGTCCAGGTGGGAAAATCCTACAGGTCACAGCCTGGGTACATGGCTGCCCCACTGTCCCCTTCCCACTGCTACTTCCACTGGATGTGTTTCCTTCTCCCCCTTGGCAGCTCAGCAGTGCGTATCCATGGCTCTGAGATCACACGCAAGGATGGGCTAAAGTAGCAGAAAGCTGTTGGATCCTACCACGGAGTTACTGACTTCTTAGCTACAGACTGCATAGCAATCAGCGAGGGGGAGAGGGAGCCAGGGAACGGGAGCAGGGAGAGGCGGTGCAGAGATTTTGGGGTGAGAGCAGGGAGGTGCAGGGAGAGGAAGGAAGGGCAGAGGGGACGAAGCAGGAGGGGGAGAGCAGAACCATCGCTGAGAGCTTGTGGGATGGACGGGAGCGAAGCACGCTGAGCGGAGGAGGAGAGGAGCTGGGCACGGTGAGCTGGGGCTCCTCAGGAATCCAGCAACCCCGGAGCTGCAGAGAACCCACTGGGTGAGCCCAGGAGCTCTGGGGCATGATGGAGACACCGACTGCTGACCCCATCCTTTGACTCTGGCTCCCAGGCGGCCCCGGCGCGATGCGGTAAGAGATGCCGGGCAGCTCCCGGTGCAGCAACGAGAGGTTTTGCCTGCAAAAATGCTGCCTTGCTAGTGCTAGTGCTGAGGAATGGCTATAAATATAACTTAGTGAGATGTGAGTGGCTTCATGTGAGTGTGTCCGTGAATAGCAAAGTTGCTGTGTGCATGGCAGATGTAAATATCGCTAACGGAGCGTGACAGTGCGGAGGGCACCTCCTCGTCAGCCTCCCCAACTTTCCTCCCTTGCCCTGCAGGTAACTTGTGTGGTTTTTCAGCTCCGACCTTTGCTTTGCTCCCTCAGCCCAGTTCTTGTTTGCCTTTTCCCTCTCCATCCCCATGAAGCAGCCCTGCACTGTGGCGTCCGTTTGTGTCCACTGCTCTGGGATGGGTGTCTCAGCACCAGGAAGCTGTTCTCCAAGCACAGAGTGCACCCAGGGTTGAAGTGTCTCCTTCTAAGCTTAGAGATTTTGGGGGTCCAGACCCGACCCTTCCAGCTCATAAGGTCCCAGCTCAGCTCTTGCTTGGAGTGGTTCAATGTCTCTAACAGGCAGTGCCAGCAGGGGTTACCCCTTGGTGTCGGATGTGTGGCAGAGCTGAGGGGTCACCAGGAGCCTGAGAAGGGATGGGGAGGAGTGCAGGGAGCATGGGGATGTATCCGTATCCATTTGCCATTGGAAGTAATGTCTGAGCACCCCAGCACATGGTCACCTCAGTTTGGGGCTGCTGACAACGATAACATGAAGGATGGCAGGAATAGACTCAATGATCCTTAAGGGTTCCTTCCAACTCAGGATATTCTGTGATTCCATGATAAGAATGTGGGCTTTTAGAAGGGAAACTGGTGGTGAGGAGGAGGAGGAGGGATGGAAATGGAAGGGATGGATGGGAGAGAGTCAGTCTCCTCATGCTGCAGCCTTCCTCTCCTTCCACCATTCCTCCTCCTTGGAGCGTGTTGCCTGGAGGCATCCCCTGGCCATTGGGCTGCTCCAGCCCAAGTTGCCCAGCCATCCCTGGTGTGGCACCACCGTGGGACGGCGGGATGAGGGACTCAATGACGGCCATCGGCGCTTCCATCAGCACCGACTGTGGTGCAGGGCACTTAATTGCAATCCGCCTTGAGCAAATTCCCACTTTCCTGGGTCACTGCGTTCTGGCACTGGGTTCGTTCAACCCGACGGCGACGGGGGATCGATAGATGGATGTGCCCATCTTCGCGGTCAATCCCTGCTCACAAACACAACAACCTTTCTGCGAATGGCGCGGGTCAGACGCAGCTCTCCTGCAGGCGACCGTGTTGGGTATAGGACCAACATATGGATATGGTTCTCATGGAGCACTGAGGGCTCCGGGGTGGAGGGGACCCCACTGGGAGTTGTGGGAGAAGTGGGGGCTGGGGAGGGGGGGCTCAGCCTCTGCTCTGGCTGTGTCATCATGGGGACCTTCGTGCGTAGCCCTTTTTTATCTGTTTTCTGCCTCTCTCTCCCTTTCTCTTCTCTCCCCCCCTCCGTCGGTATGTGGGCTGATCACTGCTCAAACTTTTAATTCAGATGGTAATTGGAATAATAATACGGGCAGAATCCTTCTGGCTCTGTTGCTGCAGCTGGCTTCGGGGAGCTATGAATAGCTCTGAGTCACACACTGAGAGGCTTCAACTTCAGATCATTTTGTTTTGTTTTCATATTACCCATGCCCGGGGCTTCACAGGGGGGAAATATCCCCTCACTCGCTCCACCCTGAAATGCAAACAGGACAGAAGGACATCCATGTCACCCAATGGAGGAGCAGGGGTCAGCTCACCGTGGTTGCGGGCGCACGGGGACTGCTGGCACCCACCCGATCTATTTATAATTATTGAGGGAAAAGGCAGCAGCGTGTCTATATAAATGGCACAGAGCTCCCTCCCCTCCCTTCACCTGCCCCATGCCATGTGCCTTTTGCTCTCCCGCATAGCTCCAACGCCCTCGCTAATGAGATCTAGGGTTAACGAGGGGCACCGAGCCCACATGTTAGCCTACATGTTAGCCCACATGCAGAGGCTCGGGGAGGGATGGGGGATGCTGCAGGTGTGCAGCTCTGCCTGAGCCTGGGAGTCCCCGTACCCAAGGCATCCCCATAAAAAGGGGTCTCCGTACTAAGAGCTTCTCATACCAAGGGGTCCTGTATCAAAGGGGTCCCAATACACAAGGGGACCCCACACCCAAAACATCCACATACCTAAGAAGTCCCCATACCCAAGCGGTCCCCATGCCCAAGGTGTCTCGTGCTCACAGGGTCCCTGTCCCAAGTGGTCCCATGCCAAGAGGTCCCCATACCCAAGGGGTCTCCACACCAAGGGATCTCCATACCAAGGGGTCCCTATGCCCAAGGCTAGGGAACGAAGGCCCCTCAGAGCCACAGTGACCACAGACAGGAGGGAAGCATTCGCCAGACAGCTCTGGATAAAGCCAAGTGTAAAAATACCATGGGATTTTTCCATCGCCGTCGTTGTTGTTTGCGGTGTACATCCCTGGAGCGCCAGATACGGTTGTTATAAAAAGAGAAGTGGGGGAGTGCTTCGGCATGGAGTTGTCTGTTCTACTTCACAAGGCCGCTCTGCTGCGGATTTGAAGCAGATCTTTATACCCAGACTAAATCTCTCTTTTAATTTGAAGCCATTTCCCCTTGTCCTGTCCCAGCAGACCCTGTTAAAGAGTCTGCCCCCTTCTTTCTTATCGCCCCCCCTTTAGATACTGAAAGGCCCGTGTCGCAGGCAGGGCTGTGCTGGGAAGCAGCAGGTGGGTTTATTTCCATCCACCCTCGGCTGGTTGCCGTTCCCTCCGAGGCCGTGGCCGGCGGCATGACGAGCGCTGCGCTCTGCCAGCTGGCAGCAGGGGATGGAGCGGGCGGCAGCAGCGCAGCGCGGCCCCGTCTGCGGCCAACCCGCCCGGGCCGATGCCCTGCCCAGAGTGCTGCCGCGGTGCTGCCGGAGGAGTGGAGGCAGCGAGTGGAGCCCACAGGTCCCCGCCAGCCGGCCACAAATCCGTCACCCAGGTAGGTGCCCCGCGGATGCTCCAAGGGCCGTCTGTAGGGGACAGCTGCGGTGTCCCCTTGCTGACACCATCGCCAGGGCGCACTTTGAAAGGCTTAGCGATCGGCAGGTGCCAGACAGAATTAGCCAGGTGCCTCTCCTTAGGAATGTCCTGTCCGTGCTCTCCTCCTGCCTTCCATCCTTTCCCCGCATCAGCCTCTGTCCCCCCGACTGCGGCATTTCTCAACCTGCTCCTGCTCCGCCAGCCCTGTCCCCTTCTCCCTCCTGCTGCCAGCCTTGGCAGGAACGCCGGCAGCTTGGTCTCGCTGCCAGGGATGTCTTCATCCCTGCTTATCCCTGCGCTGCTGCCCAGGACTGATGGTTCCTGCGCAAGGTGAGAGGGCTCTGTTTGCTTTGTGCGCTCCTCTTATCCCACTGGGATCATCCCCAGGGTGGGCTCCGGAGTCCATGTGCTTGCAGGGCTCCTTGCTCCCTGGTCGTGACCTCACAACCAGCATGGTGATGTCACGGAGCAAGGACACGGAGATGCCGGGCTCTCCTTTCGCTACCATCTCTGTTCCATCCCACACAAAACCCCACTGATCTAAATGGAGAGCCTTTAGTGACATCCTGCTCCCTGCATGTGTCACTGAGGCTGCAGAAGGCTTTGTCATTGTCACCCAACCCAGCTGAGGACAGGTTGCATCCTCCTGTTTGTCATCCTGAAATCATGCCGCGGCCGCTCAGCGTCTCTGAGAGCATGGAGAGGGCCTGCACTGAGCAGCAGAGCCTGGAAGAGGATGATGATGATGACAATGACAACGAGGAGTTCAGTTACACCTGTCCCTTGGCACATCCTCCACCCCCATGCATGAATTTGGGTGACACTCAGCTGGGAGACGCTGAGTTCTCATTTAAGCCAGGGCACTCTTGCACGGTGAGAGATGACGGAGAGAAAAACAGAATATATGCCAAAAGGTTGGCCAGGCACGCGTTGGAGCTCAAAGAGAATGCTCAGGAGTTTGAGGAACCATTTTACAAAGACACGGAGATGTCCAACGGCCCGTTCGAGGAGGAGGACAGCAGCTGGACCAGGACCTACCACCTCCCTGTGCACCAAAGGAAACACACGTCTCAAGCTGCCAACGCGTCACCACGCGGTTGCTATGACTCCTACCAGCATGACCCGTTTTCCCTATGGGCCCAACCCAGCGACCCATACCTCTCCAGCCTGGAGAACACCAGGGGAGCAGACCCCCACAGGTGGCACGAGGAATCCATCGGGGACCGGGAGAACTCCTCGCTGCGTGTGTCCTACAGCGAGCTGTGGGAGGAGAACAACAAGCTGCGCAGGGTGGTGCGGAGCATGCAGGGCTCTCTGGAGAGCCAGGCTCAAAGCATGAGGAGCCTGGAGCGTCGGCTGAAGGCCAGTCTGGCCAAGGAGGAGAGGAGGGCCCAGGGGCTGCAGGCCCTCAACCAGCAGACGGAGCGCAGCCTCCAGATCATGACCCAGCGGGCTCTGGATGCGGAAAACCACGTGGAGAAGCTGAAGCAGGAGATGCTGCTTCTCCAGGGAGAGCTGGAGTCCTCCAAGGTGAAGAATGAGAACCTGAGAGTGGGGCAGAGCATGGACCCGGAGGCGGTGAAGCACAACGTAGATTTTGCCTTGAAGAACCTCCAGAAGATAATAGCGGGTGCAAACTGGTCCATCAAGCAGCTGGTTGCTGGGACAGAGTCGCTGAATTTTGTCACTGAGATTCTTAAATCCACGGGCAAAATTTCTGATGCTGAAGCAGAGAAAAAAGAATGAATCAAACACTGTGGATGTGTTCAACCACAGCCTATACAAAAACTTTTGCTCTCACATGTGTGTGTTCAGCTTGGTAACCTTTATTCCTCACAGAGATGCTTTCCTTGTGGCTTATCTTGCGGCTGGGAAAAGGGGAGGGTTGGTCAAACCCTTTAGGAAATGTTTATTAGTGAGATATAGCAGTGACTTTCCTCTGGCGCCACTATCAATGCTAAGAATGAGCTTATAGAACCATGGAATCGTTAAGGTTGGAAAAGACCTCTAAGACCACCTGGTCAGACCTCCAGCCCATCCCCACTATGCCCACTGACCATGTCCTCAGTGCCACATCCACACAGAACACCTCCAGGGACGGTGACTGCACCTCCCTGGGCAGCCTGTGCCACCGCAGCACCACTCCTTCCAGGATGTTTTCCTCCCATCCACCCTGAACCTGAAGCTGGTGCAACCTGAGGCTGTTTCCTCTCATCCCATTGTGGTTAACTGGGAGTAGAGGCCAATTCTCACCTCTCTACAACCTCCTTTCAGGTCGTTGTAGAGGATGATAAGGTATCCCTTTAACTTGGCTCAACCAGTGGGAAACAGTGATTGGAGAAGATTCCCTTCCTCTCCTGATGCAGAGAAACACACCCAAATTGTCCATTTGTCTCCTGCTGAGTAAGGCAGGATGCCATAGCTCACATTTACTGTATAATCACTGAGTATGTGTTTTAGTTTTATCCTTTTGGGACTATATGTAGGCGTCATTTTTCAACACCAGGTCATCCCCCAACATTTCTGATGAATCCTCCTCATTTTCAGCTGTAGTTTATCCAACTACACATTTTTACATAGATTTTTCCCTATCTGGCCAAACAGACCACGATTAAAGACTTTGGTGATGAAGGCTGGTGAGAGGCTGGGTGCTGGCAGAGCTCAGCATCAACGTTTTTTTCCGATGGGAATTTTTGGCAGCTGTTCACTCCTACCTACCTATGGTTAGTGGTGAAGTCTGCTGCCTTCTCATGGTCCTCGAGTGTCCCAGCAGTCGTGGCTGGGTCTTCAGCTGCCTCAGTAACCTTGTTGCCTGGAGGAGGGACAGCTGGTTAATCCCCACTGCAGACATGACGATGGTTTGCCCATCAGAGGCGACATCTGGAGCTCCATACATGCAACCTTCCAACATGGGCTACTAAGCTGGAAGGGGTGCTGGTCACCCTTAGCCACTTGAAGCCCCGCTCTACAACACGGGTGACGAGACGAGAGCGTTTCTCACTAATTTTTCCATCCTCAACAATAACACCTATTGTTCCTGGCTCCCACCTTTGCATGGCCGCTTGCAATGAGTTCTAAACCTTGTATTTGACCCAGAAATCCCTGGATTTGTCTGAGATATGGCAACTACCTGCTGCTCATTGGCGAGGCTGGGAGGTAGTGAACTAGCTGTGTCTGTGCTGCGTGCTCTACGCTGACTGCTGTAATCCAAAGGTTACAGTGTAGGATTAGCATGGGTGTACAAAGCCCTTTCTAATCTATGAGTCATTACCCCTCACCGCATTTCCCTTCCCAGCAGCTCTGGGCAGGTGGGATAGATCAGCCCTTGAGTCTTCAGTCTCCTAGTTCTTCAGCTCAGGGAGGACCAGGTCAGGATACAGCACCTCCCAGACATCCTCCCCAGGCCATACCACAGAACCGCTCCTGGGATGCTATGCACGGCACATCGCAAGGTCTGTTTGCTCAACTGGCTTCTCCTTGGCTGCCCCTGAGCTCCTCCTTTGCATTGGCTCTCCATTATCTCTATCTCTTGCTTCTCTTCCCATCTTTAAAATAGGGGGGGATATTCTTCACCTCTTGGCAATAAATTTCCTCTAGGGCTGACAGGGATCTCTAGGGCTGCTGTGTGTGTCTGCATTTTGTTAGTCCTTGTGTGCGAGGTATTTAGGCTGGCTGAGCTCTTGTCCTCCTGTAAGCTATGATATTAATATATTGGCTCAGGGCAGGGACCCTGCAAGCTGCTAAACTCTGGTGTCCTTGGTCCAGAGAGAGGTGACTGCCTGCCAGCACCTCCGCATGGGTGAGATATGTGGGCTGCTGTGTGCACCAGGTGTGTGTCTGTCAGCTCTTCACCTCTGGAGCAGGGCTGTGGTGTAGTGCCTACCATCCCCACCTCATCCCTCTGGGCATACAGCAGAAGGCTGGGAGATGTGCATGCAGGGTAGGTGTTTTCAGGATGGGCTTTGATGGGGTTTTGCTCTGTCCTTCTCTATAAGGCACATGCTCAGGAGCAATGGTGATGATGGCATGGGTCTCAGCTTGTCAGAGGTGAAAGCTAGAGCTGCCAGGTCCCACATGAGCACGGCTGCATGAGATCCCACGCTCGCCCAGCTCCTGTGGCCCCCAACACCTGATGATACAGCAAGCCATGGGCAGCGTCCGAGTCAACCGGTGAGTAGCCCTCATCCCAAGGACTGTTCATAGAATCATTAAGGTTGGAAAAGACCTCTAAGATCACCTGGTCCAACCGCCAGCCCATCCCCACCATGCCCACAACCATGTCCTCAGTGCCACATCCACATGGCTCTGGAACACCTCCAGGGATGGTGACAGCACCACCACCCTAGGCAGCCTGTGCCACTGCAGCACTGCTCTTTCTGAGAGGTTCCAGCCTGAACCTTCTCTGCTGCAACTTGAGGCCATTCCTTCTCATCCCATTGTTGTTACCTGTGAGCAGAGGCCAATCCCCACCCACTACAACCTTCTTTCAGGTCACTGTAGAGAGCAATAAGGTCTCCCTTGAACCTCTTTTTCTCCAGACTGAACAACCCCAGTTCCTTCATCTGCTCCCCATCAGACTTGTGCTCCAGACCTCTCACAGCTCCGCTGCCTTTCTCTGGACATATTCCATGTGCTGCCCTACGTGTTCGGGGCATCTTCTGGTCTCTTTGCCCATCTCTCAATACATTATTTTCAAAATACCTTCCTGGGGCTTGTCCACTCTAAGTTATGGCTCCTCCATCTCCAAGTCTGAAATGTGCTGTATGTGGGGGGAGATCTTGGCTCTCGGCAGAGTTTGCTGGTGCAGAGAAGCAAAGAACCAATGCAGTGCTGGACACCAGCCCTGGCTCAGGAATTGCCGATTTCAGCAGGACTGCAGAAGCCCGGTGTCCTCTTTCCCATGAGATGAGGACAGCAAATGGATTTGGAGCTATGTGGCTGCCCTGAAGAAACCACCCTATTTAAACAAGGAACAGTCAGCTCTGGGGTGAAGGAGTCCCTGCTGGAGGACTCCGACAGCCGTGTCAATGTGATGGGGAGGGAGGGAGGCTCTGCCAGCCTCTGGAGTCATTAGTGGCTTAGTGGCAATGGGGGTCTTGGTGGGTCTATGCACTCAGAGGGAGGCTACTGGATATCTTCAGTGGTCAGAGCATCTTGTGCCATAAGCATTTTATATGAGAATCTGTGATTTTAGATCCAGCAGTGTATGAGAGCACTTGGAAGCTGCCTTCTCCTGGCAATGGTGAGAGGGGTAACAATGCCATCCACTGTGGAGGGAATCAGTGGGGAACAGCTCCCCAAAGAGAGGAGTTTCTCCCAGAAAAAAACTGCCAATGATTTGAGTGTTGATCTCCAAATTACACCTTTAGCTTTGGATGCAGGATGCTGGGAGCCATGCTTGTTGCTGTGGCAACAGAATTGTCCTGAGCGCAGGAAGTGTATAAACATTGTCACCAATATACAATGGCATCAGGGCGGAGAGCAGAGGAGAAAATAGAAACTCCCAGCCTTACACCATGCCGGGGCCAAAATATCGTTCTTCACATATTTCTGTCTGTTCCTTCTGTTCCAGGTACAGCATTGTCTCGACTGAGGAGGATGGACACAAGGTCTCTGCGCTGGGCAGCATGAACGGGCACAGCCGGAACGGGAAGGGCCACACACCCCGGCGGAAGCACCGTAACCGCTTTGTGAAGAAGAACGGCCAATGCAATGTCTACTTCGCCAACCTGAGCAACAAGTCTCAGCGCTACATGGCTGACATCTTCACCACCTGTGTGGACACGCGCTGGCGGTACATGCTGATGATCTTCTCCGCCGCCTTCCTGGTCTCTTGGCTCTTCTTTGGTTTCCTCTTCTGGTGCATTGCTTTCTTCCACGGTGACCTCAACGCACCGGTGGTGGGGGGCAGTCCCTCTCTCCTCAAGCCTTGCATCATGCACGTGAACAGCTTTCTAGGGGCTTTCCTCTTCTCAGTGGAGACACAGACAACCATTGGGTATGGCTTCCGCTGCGTGACTGAGGAGTGTCCGCTGGCCATCATGGCTGTGGTGGTCCAGTCCATTGTGGGCTGTGTTATTGACTCCTTCATGATTGGCACCATCATGGCCAAGATGGCGAGGCCCAAGAAGCGGGCCCAGACCCTCCTCTTCAGTCACCACGCGGTCATCTCGGTGCGGGATGGCAAACTGTGCCTCATGTGGCGAGTGGGCAACCTGAGGAGGAGCCACATCGTGGAGGCCCACGTTCGTGCCCAGCTCATCAAACCCTACATGACAGAGGAAGGGGAGTACCTCCCCCTGGACCAGCGGGACCTCAATGTAGGCTATGATGTGGGTCTCGATCGTATATTTTTGGTCTCACCCATTATTATTGTTCATGAGATTGATGAGGAGAGCCCACTCTATGGGATTGGCAAGGAGGAGCTGGAGACGGAGAACTTTGAGATTGTTGTTATCCTGGAAGGGATGGTGGAAGCCACGGCCATGACCACACAGGCACGGAGCTCTTACCTAGCCAGTGAAATCCTCTGGGGTCACCGCTTTGAACCAGTAGTGTTTGAGGAGAAGAACCACTACAAAGTGGATTATTCCCGTTTTCACAAGACCTATGAGGTAGCTGGCACACCCTGCTGCTCAGCTCGGGAGCTGCAAGAAAGCAAGATGACTATCCTACCTTCTCCCCCACCTCCCAGTGCCTTCTGCTATGAGAACGAGCTGGCTCTTGTCAGTCAAGACGAAGATGAAGATGATGACGAAGTGGGTGTAGCGTTAGGTGGCAGCACCAAGGAAGAGGGAGGCGTCATCCAGATGATGGATTTTGGAAGCCACCTGGACCTGGAGCGGCTCCAGGCCACTTTGCCCTTGGATACCATCTCATACCGCAGGGAGTCAGCCATCTAATCCCTCCAGCCTCCCCGTTCTACACCCATTACCCATCCCCTCCTCCTCCTCCTCTGTTCTGCACCCAAACGTAGCTGGATAAGTCCCTTGCCCACCAAAAAATGCCTCCTGTGACCACCTCTCAGCACCTGAGTACGTTGAGGCCTGGAGATACTCTGATATATTCCCTTTCCCATGAAGTTGTACCCCCTGGATGAGGAGTGAGAATACACCATTCTTCCAGACAGCGCAGCTTGCTCGAGGACCTGCCCAGGGACAAGAAAGAAGCATGGTTGAATTCCCACTTCTGGGGAGGTGACAGGAGCCTGTGCCCTCAATGGAGAGACTGTACCTGCTCAAGTGGTTCTGCAGCTGAGACAACAGCACTTTCTGTCTCTCTCAACATGTGCAGACCCATGGCTATCAATAGAAATGGCTCTCACAAGGAGAGGAGTGATGCATAAGTCCTGACTCAATGAGAAGGGACAGGAGAGTTTGGGACTCCTAGAGGGAGTGGGAGAGTCTCTGGAGATAGGGGTTTGCTTGCATGTTTATTGCTTGTTGCACTTGACTTTCTTTGTATATAAAAAAGATCGAGAACTGAAATCCATATTCTTCCACTGTAAATGCCAAGCTGGGAGAGAAGGACACTGCACGTAGCCCGCTCTGCACTCTCCTTGTGGCACCCATCACCTCCAGCAGCAGCTCAGCCCCACAGCCCCACAGACTCAGCCCTGGTTCCCCTACTCCTCCCCAGACCACATTCTGCTTCTTTCCTGGAGCGCCTGGCAGCAGGCAGGGCCCTGTGCTCACACACCCAGCCACCGTGCCAGGGCTGGCAGGCAGTGACCTGATGGGACGGCAGGCCCCTCACTTGCTCCTTCCACCTCCTCCAGTCTTCTCCCTGCTGCCATCAGCTGTAAAACGGAATTTGTATCTATTTATTTTTAATAAAGTCTAATATCCCAGGGGGAGGTTTGGAAACAAAGGAGACCCCGAGGCTGCAGCCTGGTACAGAGACTGATGAGTGTTATTAGTGCTGGTGTTTGCTGTTTGTATGGGTTTGATGCCTGGAGGCTTCACCTTTGGTACTTCAGAGCCAGAGCTAGACTTAACACCACTTCTCTGCTGTTTCACAGAAGACAGCAAACCTTGGTGAGTCTTTATTAAGAGTATTAGAATCACTCACTCAAAACTAGATGACATGAGGATGGGAAAATAATTGGGTAGCTCAAAAGGCTGCTCTGCACACCTGGCAGATGTGCTCTTGGGGAAATGGTTGAAGAAATACTGTTCCATCTAATCCCTGATCTACAGAGCAGAAAGCCAATGTCTTGGTAACAGCTTGGGCTTAGTACAAAGAGCAATAGGAAAGAAGCAAAAGAGGAGGGAAGGAGTCAGAAGGAGTGAGGGAGAATCGGGAACCGCAGGCAGGGAAAAAATGAAGGGAAGGGAAGGGAAGGGAAGGGAAGGGAAGGGAAGGGAAGGGAAGGGAAGGGAAGGGAAGGGAAGGGAAGGGAAGGGAAGGGAAGGGAAGGGAAGGGAAGGGAAGGGAAGGGAAGGGAAGGGAAGGGAAGGGAAGGGAAGGGAAGGGAAGGGAAGGGAAGGGAAGGGAAGGGAAGGGAAGGGAAGGGAAGGGAAGGGAAGGGAAGGGAAGGGAAGGGAAGGGAAGGGAAGGGAAGGGAGAAGAAGAAAAATGAATAATGTGCTAATGTGGGAGAGTATTTGGGAGGGAACAGGGATAGTGTAACAAGATTGGTATGGACACAGACATGGCCACCTCAAGAGGAATACCTCCTGGCCACCTCTTGGCTTTTTTCACCTATGACTTGATATGCAGCCATGTTTTTCTACATGTGTCTGTGTCCCACCTCCTCTCCCCATTGCTGATTAAAAATGTCCCTCCCTCCTCCTTCCTCATACCATTATTTATTTATTTTCCCCCAGAGGGAATAAACAGAGGCCAGTATTGACCTGGCTTTCAATATAGCTTTCAGAGCTGGGTGCCTGTCGCTGGTCATGGCAGTGGAAACAAACTAATGGACTGAGAGGGAAGGACTCTGCATGTGAGGATGTGAGGACACGGGCACCCAGAACACAGACTGAGCTGGTGGCCCCAAAGAAGGGAGCGTGGCTGGACAGTGGACACCCCTCACCAAGGTGCAGCACCCTTTAGAGGTGAGTGGGGATTATGTACCATGACTCTAGTTCCTAAGAGTCTGGTCTGTGAGGAGATGCACTCCGTGAGGACATCTAGGGGAGATTTCTCCCACTTTGGCAATGCACAAAGGTATGTGTATCCTTCAGTGCACGTGCTTCTGCACCTGCATGCTCCAATCACAAAGTACTCATGCCTGAATATCCACTGAACATGCATAACTCTACATGCATATGTCATATATGCAGGCATAAGCCATCCTACACCACTCAATAAACCATAAACACTCAGTGATGTGCACACAAACTTTGTGCACCAGCAGCACTCATGTCAACAAGTGTATGCACAATTGGATGTTGGGGACTCCTTTATGTGACCCAAGAGAAATCACCAAGAGAGAAGGTTGGATATTAGGAACAATTTCTTCTCAGAAGAAGCGGTGCTGCAGTGGCACAGGCTGCCCAGGGAGGTGGTGCAGTCACCGTCCCTGGAGGTGTTCCAGAGCCGTGTGGATGTGGCACTGAGGACATGGGCATGGTGGGGGTGGGCTGGCGGTCGGACCAGGTGATCTTAGAGGTCCTTGCCAACCTTGATGAATCCACTGTGGAAAGCTGCCATGAGGAAGACTGGACATTGCTAGGTGGGTCTGCAAATCAGCTCTGCAAGCCAGAAATACTGATGGGATTTTGACCAGGGTGCAGCTGCGTACGATATGTGAAGCATCACCTTCCATGTAGGTGGTGCATCTGGTCCAGAGAAGATGCCTCCCTTCTGCAGGACCTGATGGACAGAACGACTGTGCAGTACTTGTTGAGATTTGGCTTCTGTTGAAAACTATTCCAACCTCAGAAATCTAACAGAGAGAGAACGGACTTTTTGCCCTATGAATAGGATCCAGGCACTGGCTCAGATCCGGCACCCCATGACAGCTAACTATACTGCTTCCACTCCTGCCAGCTTCCAACTGAACATTGTCGTTGTTTTTGATGACACTTGAGAGACTTGTTTCATGTTTTATTTTTGGTGACACTTTCAGCCAACCCTTTTGAAAAGAGACCATCATTGGCACCTTTCAGCTCACCCAAAATTTGCTCAGCAAAACATTTTGATACACGCTGCGGCTAAAAATATGTTCAAGGAACATGATAATAAGGGAGAAAATGGGTTTGGATTTCTGTGATCGGGAATTCATGTTGATAACATTTGTGCTTCCAAACAAAAGTGCTTTTTTGCAACCAGCTCAGCTTTGGTGTTGTCCCAGAATGAAGAAGAGTCGGCTGCACACAGGCGTGTGACCTCTGCTCAGCTTCTACTTCTTCCCAGGCCATTAAGGGCTTGCTCCTGCCCCTGCTAAGTCGATGGGAATTTTGCCATTGCCTGGGGTGAATTGCAGAGCTGGGCCCTAATGGAGCACCGCTATTGGAAAAGCCCTGCAGCCCCAGCCTTCTGCTGATGCTGGGACAAATGATGTGGGCTGTGCAAGAGGGGGAGAGGTGGAAAAAGGCAGCGTGTGGGGCTGGGGGAGCTGAGCACATTGCCTGGGGGGCACTGGGCAGGCTGTGGGAGAAGCAGCAGGGTGGGCAGGAGACGTGGGGGTCTCTCAGTGCGAGGCTGCTTGGGCTGGCGGCTGAAAACCAGAGGGGCAGAGGTGGGAACGAGCTGCTGGAGGAGCTGTGTCCAGCCCTGGGGACCCGGCTGGGGGCTGCCGCAATCCCGGCCCACCGGTGCGCTGCGGGACCCACGGCCAGGAAACCACGGCACGAGCACGCCGGGGAGCTCGGTCCTTGCCTGTCCTCAGAGCACCACCTAGGGATGGCAGCGAGCCTCGCAGCACTGCCTCCGAGCAACCCGAGCAGCTGCGGGCTCAGCAGGGCTGGGAGTCGGGTGCAGGGATGGGGCGCAGGGATGGCTGCAAGTCTCAGCTGGAGGTCAGGATGGGAATATTTCCCTTTCTGTCCTGCAGACAATGCCAGCTCTGGAGGTACCCATGTGCCCATGGATCTTCAGCCCACAGTAAAGTTCAGGATGGCTGACGGAGGGGTCAGGGATTTTTATGCCATGCCATCAAATATCAGCTCTGTAAAACCTCATCAGCTTTCACGGAGTGGCTACTGGCTTTGAAAGCAGTTCAGATATGCACTGACACTTTGATTTCTTCTCTGTGCAAAGCTGTGGCAATCTGGGAAGTTGCACAGGGAATGCTTGAGTTCAGAGACAGACCATTTGGTTATTGTCCCTTCAGTTGTCACCTCTGCAACACGGCTGGTGCAGATGCTCAACGTATGAGATTTTTCTCCACTATGCAGCCCCTCAGTGTGGCACACACAATCTACGCTGTAGTAGAGTTGTAGTAGAGTTGTGCTGCTGTAGCAGCTTCCTTTTTCCTGCCCCAGGCAGTCATGAACTTGTGTGGAAGTGGAGAAATGCCCCACTGGGATGTGCCCTGGCCAGTATGAAGCACAGCTTGTAGGCAGAGGGTTTGCAATGCCCTGAGAGTTCTTTTGGCAACCTACCTTTCCATATCCCCTTGGGATATAAGGTAATGACAGCCTGGCTTGCAAACCACACGGAGTCTGCGCTCCTGTGTTTATCTCATTTTCTGGGAAAAAGCAATGAGAACAGAGCAGTCAGTGGGCCATTCACTCTTACTTTGCCTTTGAACACATCCCCTTCATGAGGAAGCATCCACAGGGAGCAATCCCTCTGCTTTCTGAACAGCTGTGGCTCTAGGCACACAGTCCTGGAGCTGCCCAAAAGTAGGCAGTGTGGGAAGAGGAAATACATATTGCTAAGTGGAATGATGTGATTTCATTGCCCTGGTGCCTTTGAAGAAATGTGGGATGGACACAAACACCATCCTGAAATAGTCTGTGAGACATTGGATATTTGAGCTTTCAAAGTTTTTTTGGCCTCTGAAATTAGCAGGATTATTTTGGTGCTGGCCCCTGAT